GCTTCAAATTTTTCGATCTGTTGGTAGCACTTCTTACAAAAAATACGTGCCTGACGGACAGATTGTCATTCTTGAAAGTGAAAAGTGTCGAGATTCTTTCGAAAATTTTCAGTTTTTGAACATTTCCGATACAAGGCTGTAATATCCACCATTACACACAACATAAATGTCAAATAAACGCCACGACAGTGAAAACTTTGAATTAGGAACCTTTTTCACGGAGTAGTTTTTATTCCCATGGAAGCCACGTAATTCAAATCAGACCAGATCTGTCATGTCATCCGTGGGCATGTCATGTCTACATGTGCCTGTCCATGTGATCACAGTGGGAGATGCTCCCTGTGATTGGTTTAAATGTAATCCGATAAAATTGATCAAAGTTCAACGAGAATGGAGAATGAAACCACTCTGTACCAGAGACTTTCTTGCGGCTTCGCTGCTCACACAGGTGGCCTTCGGTCGCTGAAGTGAAGCGAAGTATTTCTGTCTGCTGTGTGCGAGAAAAAACCTCTGGTACTCGGGGCACTTCACCACACAAAAAGAATATAAAAGAAATATCACTAAAAATATGTTTGATCACCTCATCTTTCACAGCCCAAACGTTGGCACGACAATGTTCCAATGCATTACACTCCAAAGCTTGCTTGTAGTTCTGACACCAGTAAGACGGACCCCAAGAACACTTTGCCTGTCCTGTGGGGGTTCCACTGACTGCAAAATAATTCAAACATATTTTTCAGAGAATTCTCAGACTTGTAATGTGACAGCTTTTTCATTTCAGAGGAAGAAGAAAGAAAATCTCTGCGACCAAGATTTATAAAATAAAACAATAAGCCACCTAATACATACTGATCAGCCCTGCTGTAGAGTGTGTTTTTGATTTCCACTGCATACACGAACTCGCATTTTCTGGTGACACATTTTCTGTTAACACATTTTTCACATGAATTTGTGGGCGCTTATCTCTGACCTGTACTGCATCTACCAGCAGGCCATTGCATTCTCACAGCAAATTAGCATGGTTTAGCAGTTAATTTTCTTTGATTTGGTGAAATTATATCTTTTTAGTGAATTCATTTTGTTTTAGAAAACTCCAGGTTTCCACTTTGTACAGGTTTGGTAGCTCCAAACTATTAATTTTCCATCTTAGGGCCTGTTTCCAAGGAGGGAGGGTTACATTAGCAAGCGGGTTAACACTAGCTGGAGGGCAAAAGATAGTCTGCGTTTACAAGCAAAATTTCACTGGTAGGGTAACCTTACAACGCGGGTCCACTTAATAAGTGGACCTTACACGTTAAGGGTCTGGAAACAAGTAGAGAGTTAACCCGGGTAGGCTTCAAAAAAGGCCTCAAAGCAAGCCCAACTAGACAATTCACTAGTCTTGGGCTATCAGACCCGACTTTCTAAATGGACACGGCTTTTTTCCCCACTCTGTTATTAAGCATGTAGAGCTTACAAAGGCAAAGAGGAAGTAAAAAAAGCGGTCACCAAGTTTTTGATGACAAGAATTTTTATAACATATGCATCTGCCTTCTGCTCAAACTACACATTCCACTTACTGACAAGTGTCCTGACAGATTTCTTAAATACCACTTATTAGAATATAGCAATACATCTACAAAATATCATTCGAGTCTTTAAAAATTTGAAAGTGAAGGCCCTCAATAGGAAACTAACTCGAGATCCTGTTAGGAACAGGAGTTATCAAACAAACTAACACAACGTACTTCCAAGAAAAACAGAAAGTATCTCCAGTGTAGTAAGATAAAGGTTTTCAGATACGCAGGTCAACTTATCCATCTACTTTCTGCGAAATGTGTACTTTGTAACTTAAGAATAATAAAGTTTAAAAAGAAATCATTCCGTCATGTCATGGCGGCTTCCCACATGCAGTTCCTGTATTGCTGAGGCCAATTCAAAAAGTTGATATCCAAAACTTACATAAAACAGCAGCATAAGTTTAACCTTTCGTCGCCCAAATCAGTAATTCGGTTTGGCTTTAATTTACTTTAAAGTTATTTGGCTAAGTACCGTTAGATTTTGTGATGCTTCAGATATGGAAAGCAACTATTCTTTTCATTTTGAATTGAACCTCGCCGAGTGACACATGCTTTAGATGTCTTGGCAAATGCATGCATGCATTTGTTTCTACGTAAAAACCGTATTGCAACATTTCTAAATCCCAGTTATAAAGCTAACCTACCTGTAGCAACGAAGAGCACCAGAGCTACTACCGTGAGCGACATGTTTCCGTAGTTCAAGGCCCGTCAACGTAAGAGTTTTGCAACAGAGAGGAGGAAGAACGGACTTTATGCAAATTTGTATAAAGAAAGGATGTGTGAGAATCACGAGACCAAGTACCTGACTCAGCCAATCAAAGTTCAGTCATGTGATCAACATCCGAGGGACACAACCCACTACCCACCCCCAATGGCCCCAAACATCTCTGGCTTTCGCTAGTCTAAAAATGTCTTTTATACCTAATTTATGTTATTTCCGCGTTCTCCGAGCTCAGCGTCATTAGATTTTAGCTCCTTTGTATTTTTTTAGAGTATACTTATGATTAAAAGGGTTTGAAAGGAAAAGGTTTGTTAGTTGTTTTTTGTGATCGCTGGCGACCGTCCTTCGCGATGTTGCAACGATTGAGAAGTGTGTTTTGTTTCGAAAGANGGGTGGTCCTCTATCCTCGATTCCCCGTGGCGGACTCCAGAGGAGTGGGAATAAGAATAATACAGCGCATGCTTGTAATCTTTGTTTATCGTCGGACCAATTGTTGTGACATTGTCGAAATTCAGCTGAGAAGAGACTGTGTGTTTGTTGGAAAATTGTAGTGAACGGGCCAGATCTTGGTTCACTGAAATTATGGACGGACTTGAAGACGGTGAAGCCCCTCCTGAAGGTGCCGAAAACGCCCAACAGAAGACAGCAAATATTGTCTCTCGCATGGCACTCGCGCACGAACTATTGATGGACGATTCCTTCAAAATTCAGTCAGAACTTCCCCAAAACTCGTAAGACCTTTTATTTTTTATCCGTTATTGATAACCATAGCATGTGAATTGTAATATTTATTCATTTTCCATATTTTTCTCTCTCACCATCTTTATTAGCTTATCTTTTCTCTCTTGTTTTGCGAAATAACAACTCAATTTCATTTGCATTTACGGGCCGTTTTGTGGTTTTGAACAAAACCTTGGAAACTCGGAGAATTGCGTTACATCGTTATAAGTTGTAAAATTACTAACTTGTATGGCAAAATGATATGTCTATGATGTTATGTTTAAGAGGAAAAGCTTTACTACTTAGGATTAAATTTGGCTACATTTTTACCAATTTTAGGGAGACCTTGCACTGTAATTTACATCTATGTAATGTAAACCTTTTAAAGGCTTACTAATGTTAGCAAGGATTCCGTAAATGTTTGCCAATCTTTTAGTCTTTTTAACTCCATCAATCGGTAGACAGGGATGGTAGTTATATTACAGAATTCGATTTTGGCCTGTTATGACAAACAAGACAAAACAAAAAGATATCTTATTAAATATTCTGAAAACAGTACTTGACACATATGTCAGTCAGGTGAAAATAAAGTCACGTCATCAACAGTAATATGGAAAATTATAGCGTGAAAAGCACTTTGTTTCCTTGTTATTTGTACCTTCAGTAGATAAAAGAAGTTAGAAAATGAATCATTTTTATGGGTTTTTACTTTCTGCATTGTCACATCCTGCATAATTATTTTGTTGTGGCATGCAAATTTTGCTCATGAATTCCAGTTTTGTACTTCGCATCTATAGATGTTCCAACAATAATTGTTTAAGTGCTAGGTAAATCAAGGATGGCTTGAAAAATTTATAAAATTGAGCTTAATTATTTAATTGTTCATAGCTACCAATACTTATTCGAAGAATTTATAAAAATTACACATGCCAGCAGTACCCTTGAATCTTTGACGAGCTGATTTATTTTGCTTATTAAACTAACTAAAATATGCACCCTTATATCTAATCTTGGACTTAAAAAGCAACATCTGACTTTGAGATATCAAGAGCTTGATATGTACTTCTCAAACTCATTAATAATTCATCAAGTTTAAACATAGGAAATCAAGACTGTGGCGGTGTTTGGATATCTGATCTTAGTTAGCATAGATTTTTATGATTTTAATTCTCCATTTTCTCCTTAGGTTTAGTTTCGATTGAGATGACATATCAAACACTCAAGACAGTGTTTGACCACATTTCCAAACACCTTGAAGTTCATCAAAAATACTTCGCTATGTGTCGTATTTTCAACTCTCGTCTTGGTGATATGGCTAATTAATAACCAACTTAGAGGGGGTTTAAAGGGAAAATAAATTCTCTCTCCAACATGTCTCTAATTTTGTCCATTTATTTTAGGCTGGAAAAACAAGTCAGGGATGTGGTTCACAAGGCATTTTGGGATAAACTTCGTGAAGAACTCAATCAAGATCATCCAGTCTTTAGTCAGGCATTATCTTTAATACAAGAAGTTAAAGAGGTACATGTCTGTTTGATCAATGTCAATGACAAAGCTCTTGGATCTGAAAACTGCATAGTGTCAGGGATGGTGGAGGGGGCAAAAAATACATAACAATAATTTTGCAAATATCTCCAGACCCCCTACAAGTAAGCACCTCTGGCGCTCGCTTGTAAGTCCTCCCAATTCAAAATACGCTCCACCATCCCTGAGTGTACGACAGTTGTTTGTTCTGTTGCTGGGTCTTGTGTACAGTAAAGGGTTTCACCAATCAGTTGTTCCACAAACTCATTCTTGTTCTTCAAGATGTGTTGTTAATCCATCACAAGTTTCCCAGCAGCATTTTACGAGTTAACCTCACACATGTGCCTTACTCCTTGGCACAGGAGAGAGACACTGTGAAAGTTATGCAGAGAACAAGAAGATGCTGAACACTAGAAAACAGACTCACTAATTGTCAAGCCACCATGCCACATACATGCTGGCTATTGCAATTCTTTTACTGTTCATTGACAGGTTTAACCTCTTAATCTCCCCAGAATTGTTAGTACTTTCTAGAGCTGGTTTGCCTTATTACATTGTTTCAATCTATATTTTCTTATTTCCACAGAACATGCTATCATTACTACTTCCATATCACAACTCACTAAGAGCTCACATAAATGAAGTTCTCGACCTGGATCTCATCACACAGCAGGCTAATCATGGCATTCTGGACATATCAAAGCTTGCGGCATCTGTTGTAGGTATCCTTAGTAAGATGTGTGCTCCAGCAAGAGATGAACAAGTCAAGAAAATCCTCGAGAATCAGGACATTGTGGAACTTTTCAAGTAAGCAATAAGAAGTTTGAAAANCAACAATTTACATTACTAATATCCTGAAACAGTACAGATGATTCTTCAAAATTTTACAAACTCTAAATCTCAAGATAATAATTAATTACATTCTTCTCAATTATTATTTTGCTGAGTACTGATTTTTTCAATGTTTTTTGATTGATAAGAAAAATGAAATTGATTATCAGCCAAATAAGGAGCCGTCAAAATTGAAAAAATGATCTTTGAAACCCTGTTGGAAAAAGAAAAGTGACACTGCAATGTTCACAGAGGTTCCTTTTTTAAAATGGGTATTTTTCCAGTTTTCATTCTCTGTTAATTTAGTCTTTGCTATTGTGCTAAATTGAGTATAAGCAGAAAATGGTGAGAATTAGGTATGATTTCATTAAAACTAATGGACGTTCATTGATGAGTCTGAATTCTAAGATTTCCTGGTAAAACTTAAACATTGTGCTTGCAGACGTTGATTATGGATGAATCTCGATTGGCTGAGATGAGATGGAGTGTTCGCCGCACCACTCTTATTGCTTCTGTTCTGTTGGTGACCCTTAATACCGTGGGTCAGCAGCTGGCTTCAGATGCAGCTTATCTGGCTACTCTCAAGGAGGTGCTGTATATTCTTTTGGATGGTGTACCTGAAGGGTAAGCGGCAAATTAAGAAGTAGGAGAGATGCTTCATAGCTATAGCTTGAAATTAGATTGACATCTGAGAGAATAAGAAATGCTGTAGGAATAATAATAATAGCCTTTATTTACCATTGGCAGTGTTTACAGCACAACGGCTAGTAGGGCCAAGCAAACAAAAGAAACAAATAATCCAAATTGAACATGACATTGTTAAGAATCTTAACTGGCCAAATGCAAACCAGTTGCCTTAATTTACAAGCAAGGGTGAGGATTTGAATTTGGGGCTACGGTGAAACAAATCCAGTGGGTGGTTAGTGGGTGGTTAGAGCGGTTCTCAAATCCGGGACCACTGGATTGTGAGTCCAACGCGTTGACCCCTCAGCCACACTGTCTCCTCCTCACAATGTGGGCATAGCCAAGTTGACTTGTACAAAAAAAAAAGTCGGAAACAAGGGTGGGTAGGGCTGGAGGCTCTAAAGGTTTTCATGGTATATTTGAAGGTCATAGAGGGAAATTGATCCAGAAGTCATGCCTTTCAAAACCAGGGTATAAGTCTTTCTTTATGCTGGTTAGGTTGATTTGCTTTCTTCCTTGATACTCAAAAAGTTTAAAAGGCACAGTTTCCTTCTGACATCTGGAGGATCCTGAAGGATTGTTGCAAAGATATGTGCAAGATCTTTGTAGGATCTTTTAGAGATTTTTTAGGGGTCCTTGATAAGATCCTTATCTTTTAGGAACTCTAGCAGTTCTGTAAAGATCATTTGCAAAGGTCCTAAGAAATCCTGTAAAGTTTTTCATGAGGAACGAAAATCATATTTTTGCAGTATTGATTAACATTGATCAGACGACACACTGTATTTGCTTTGCAGTGACTTCCCTTCTGCTCTGCCTGGAGTTTATGAACAGATTGTGCGAGAAACTGAAAAGTTGTTAGAAGCCAGGGGATTGAGTGAGTTGACTTCACAACAACGGGACCTGCTTAAAGGACAAACTGAAGGAATGGCATCTCCAGAGAACACTGTGTTAAACTTGATCAGTGAGTAGAGTTGGGTTTTATTCGAGCGTATGATGTTATGGTAATTGAGGTTGATTAGTGATATGGAATGCCCCCAGTCCTGCCTGGAATTTTGGCGAGATCATAAAAACCCCGAACCAGTCAGAACGCGAAGTTGATAAAGCGTCTATCAAAACGGCTAAAAAACCATACCCTTTGAGACCGCATATACCTATATAGCCCAGATATGGGAGTACCCACCCCCTCCCCCTTTGGAGGATAAGTTTCACCTAGAGAAAATGAGGGGACTTTTTCTCAATTTTTCTTGGGTTCACTATAAAGGGCTGTTTTAGTCTCCTAAACATCAGTTAGCCACACAACATAGACAGAAAAGAGCGACGTTAGACCGTAATAGGCTGCAGGGTGTAGGAATTAATGGTACGCATTGTTCTGATTCTAATACGTTTACATATTATTCCTCTAACAGCGACTCGCGTGTACGACTTCATGTTAAACAGCATAAAGAGTCGGCTGCTTCAAAAGAGTAGTAGAGAAGCTGGACAGTCTACACAAACCGTCACCATCCCTCAAGGACTAGCTAGTGTGAACACAGAACTTTCCGAAATTACTGGCAGGTTTTCACGTGTGGTCAGCCACAATATGGCGGTCTTTGCACCCTTTTACGAAGACATACTAGTTGAGATCAAAAGCTCTTGACATTGATTAATGATAGCCAAAAGACATATGACAATGTAGATTTGTAGTTCGTCAAAGGTGTTTTGGTATGTTTGCTTATTTTGTCGCCATTACATCAGTATAACTCCATTTTTCTTCCCTAACTAGAGGGTAGCAAAGGGTGAGGGCTGGGGGTGTGATCACGTTTCACGTACGAATTTTGATAAAACTCACGACCGTATACTTTTAGCTTCTGTTGACAATGTCCTTTTCATACTGAAATTTTCGCATCGCGTTTTTTTCCGTAAGTAACTTTTCATGCGTCACACACTAATTTTTGCCCCCATCAGCTGTCACGCATTAGCCCTTTGCCACCCACCCTCTAACCATTTGTGTAAAGACATATTTAATAGTGACTTAAGTGACCCTTTTTTAGCCGCGGGAAGGTTGAATAGGTTTCTGCCGCCTGTCACACAATACGGTTCCCCCATAAAATAACGAAAAACTAATAATTTTGAATCAATACTTTTGAACGGTATTTGCCAAAACATGATTGAGTGATGATTGGAAATTAAATATATTCCAGAGTTGATGTAGTTGTACGTGTTTTTTTAAATAATTTTTTTAACTTATTTATTTTATTTTAGAATCTGAAGGTACGTTAAGTTTGAGAGTTTATGAGAGATATTTTGTTTATTTCTACATATTATAGATTTTTTATTTCGTTCCTTAATTTATAAACGTGGCAGTGTTAGTAATGAGGAACGACATGAGTAAAATATAAAATACGATATATACTTAGGAGGGTTTTATTACATGCAGACTAAGGTATAGTAAAATAAACATGTATATTGTTGTAACGAACTTGTTTTTTAAACAGAGTTATCGGGCATCTGTTAGTAAAAAATGAACGCCTATTTTTGTTTACGCGCTCGGTTCCCGAGAAACTGAACTTGAACCTGGTTTACATCTTGAGAAAATTTACAGAGATAACTCGAAAATCAAATGCAAGGAAAATTTTAAATACGACTTCATTCGATCTTTACATCGTACAGTAAGAACTAAAATGTTCTCAACTAGGAACAAACATCGTGTTATAAAGTTTGTATGAAGTCTTGTTACCGAATTAGCGGCTGTAGTAAGGACGAATAATGTGCAGTGGTCGCTTACTGGAGGGTAAAAAAAAAAAA